AAACAGTTAATGCAAAGCGGATCGTTAACTCCTGAAAAATACACTACGATTCACTGCAGTAGCCAAGCAGCTGTAGCACACTGTAGAAATTGTAGAATCACACTTTCTTATGAACATTATTAGATCTTTAAACCATGACTAAGCTTACTTTTGGCATGTATACTTCAAAAATATCTTACAACGGTCAGTCTGCCATTTACAGCATGATTAGATCTTAACCTTGAGTGACATTAACTAATACCAGCAAATATGTTACGTTGGTAGTATTAACTTTACATAACAACTGCTTAGCACAAAAACAAAACGCTAAACACATTGTTTTCATAGACCTTTATAGACAAGATTCTGTGCCAACAAAAGTATTTAAATGTACATCGTTGCCCTCCTTGGTCTCAATAGGGTGATACTACACTGCTCAAAAAAATAAAGGGAACACTAAAATAACACATCCTAGATCTGAATGAATGAAATGTCATTAAATACTCCTTTCTTTACATAGTTGAATGTGCTGACAACAAAATCACACAAAAATGATCAATGGAAATCAAATGTATCAACCCATGGAGGTCTGGATTTGGAGTCACACTCAAAATCAAAGTGGAAAACCAAACTACAGGCCAATCCAACTGTGATGTAATGTCCTTAAAACAAGTCAGAATGAGGCTCAGTAGTGTGTGTGGCCTCCACGTGCCTGTATGACCTCCCTACAACGCCTGGGCTCCTGATGAGGTGGCGGATGGTCTCCTGAGGGATCTCCTCCCAGACCTGGACTAAAGCATCCGCCAACTCCTGGACAGTCTGTGGTGCAACGTGGCGTTGGTGGATGGAGCGAGACATGATGTCCCAGATGTGCTCAATTGGATTCAGGTCTGGGGAACGGGCGGGCCGGTCCATAGCATCAATGCCTTCCTCTTGCAGGAACTGCTGACACACTCCAGCCACATGAGGTCTAGCATTGTCTTGCATTTGGAGGAACCCAGGGCCAACCGCACCAGCATATGGTTTCACAAGGGGTCTGAGGATCTCATCTCGGTACCTAATGGCAGTCAGGCTACCTCTGGCGTGCACATGGAGGGCTGTGCGGCCCCCCAAAGAAATGCCACCCCACACCATTACTGACCCACCGCCAAACCGGTCATGCTGGAGGATGTTGCAGGCAGCAGAACGTTCTCCACGGCGTCTCCAGACTCTGTCACATGTGCTCAGCGTGAACCTCCTTTCATCTGTGAAGAGCACAGGGCACCAGTGGCAAATTTGCCAATCTTGTTGTTCTCTGGCAAATGCCAAACATCCTGCACGGTGTTGGGCTGTAAGCACAACCCCCACCTGTGGACGTTGGGCCCTCATACCACCCTCATGGAGTCTTTCTGACCGTTTGAGCAGACACATGCACATTTGTGGCCTGCTGGAGGTCATTTTGCAGGGCTCTGGCAGTGCTCCTCCTGCTCCTCCTTGCACAAAGGCGGAGGTAGCGGTCCTGCTGCTGGGTTGTTGCCCTCCTACGGCCTGCTCCACGTCTCTTGATATACTGGCCTGTCTCCTGGTAGCGCCTCCGTGCTCTGTACACTACCCTGACAGACACAGCAAACCTTCTTGCCACAGCTCGCATTGATGTGCCATCCTGGATGAGCTGCACTACCTGAGCCACATGTGTGGGTTGTAGACTCCGTCTAATGCTACCACTAGAGTGAAAGCACCGCCAGCGTTCAAAAGTTCATTCATTACACACAGACTGATATATTTCAAATGTTTATTTCATTTAATTGTGATGATTAAAACTGACAACTAATAAAAATCCCAAAATCAGTATCTCCGAAAATTGGAATATTACTTAAGACCAATGCAAAAAAAGGATTTTTTGAAATGTTGGCCAACTGAAAAGTATGAACATGAAAAGTATGAGCATGTACAGCACTCAATACTTAGCTGGGGCTCCTTTTGCCTGAATTACTGCAGCAGTGCAGCGTGGCATGGAGTCCATCAGTCTGTGGCACTGCTCAGGTGTTATGAGAGCCCAGGTTGCTCTGATAGTGGCCTTCAGCTCTTCTGCATTGTTGGGTCTGGCGTATTGCATCTTCCTCTTCACAATACCCCATAGATTTTCTATAGGGTTAAGGTCAGGCCAGTTTGCTGGCCAATTTATTTATAGTATATAAGACAAGCTGACTCCTACTTCACTCAGATGTCTATTCTCAGTGTTTGTGACCTGCACCTCCACTTCACACAGTGTTCGTTTCATACTGGATCACTACTGACTTCCAAACTAGTTGTTACGCCACAAAATCATTCTGCAGTGAAGCTAAAAGATCCAAGTTAATCAGAAGAAGCTTTATTGCCAAGTAGTGCTTTACACATAGGAGGAATTTGCTTTGGTGATAAGGTGCTACACACAGAAAAACATACAGTTGACATAAATGCAGAAATATATAAATATGGAATAGACAATGCAAGTTATATAAGAATAATAAAAACAATAGAGAAAAATAATACAACTATTTGCACAGAAAGAACAATGTGGCAGATATTTACATGTGCATTTTTCTGGGTTTGTGTGTTGTGTGCAGACGTATTGCATCGGAAGAGAATATTGTGTACATAAATATATAAATTGACAACATAACAATATACAACAATATGCGAGGTTTGTGCATGATTACATTTGCAGAGACATTTACCGCATTTGAAAGGGGGGAGTGTCAGTGGGGGACCCGGGCCTTGTTAATGAGGCTAGCTGCAGACGGCAAGAAACTGTTTTTGTGGTGAGAGGTTTTGGTCCTGATGAACCGCAGCCTCCTGCCAGAGAGGAGAGTCTGAAACAGTTTGTGTCCGGGGTGGGAGGAGTCAGCTGCAATCTTTCCTGTTCGCTGCAGAGTCCTCGAGGTGTACAGGTCCTGAAGTGATGGAAGATTGCAGTTGTTGGTTTTGGCGTACAGTGCTCTGTAGCGCCTACCAGAGGGGAGGAGCTGGAACAGGTTGTATCCCGGGTGAGATGGATCTGCAGTGATGTTTCCTTCCCGTTTCCTGACTCTGGAAATGTGTAAGTCCTGAATGGAGGGCAGGTTGGCACCGGTTATTTTTTCTGCAGTCCTGACTGTCCGTTGTAGTCTGCTCCTGTCCTTTTTGGTGGCAGATCCAAACCAGACAGTGATGGAGGTGCAGAGGACAGACTGGATGATGGCTGTGTAGAACTGGATCAGCAGCTCCTCGGGCAGGTTGAGCTTCCTGAGCTGACGCAGGAAGTACATCCTCTGCTGGGCCTTCTTGATGATGGTGTCAGTGTTGGGCTCCCACTTCAGGTCCTGGGTTATAGTGGATCCCAGAAACCTGAAGGATTCCACAGCAGATACAGGGCTGTTGAGTATGGTGATGGGGGGCAGAGTGGGGGGGCTCCTCCTGAAGTCCACGGTCATCTCCACAGTTTTGAGTGTGTTAAGCTCCAGGTTGTTCTGACCGCACCAGAGAGCCAGCTGATCAACCTCCCGTCTGTAGGCCGACTCATCACCGTGAGGCCGATGACTGTTGTGTCGATCCTGACGTAGGTTCCTGGGGAGTCCGGGTGCTGGAGGATGAATTGAAGGGCCATGTTTACTGCATCATTACTGCAGGGGGTCCAAGAGAGGGTCTGTGACTGATTAAAGGTGGGGCAACACAAGACGGGTCTGAAGTCGTTTAGTCCAGTTGTCCTTGGTTTCTTGGGGACAGGGATGATAGTGGAGGCTTTGAAGCAGGCTGGCACATGACATGTCTCCAGAGAGGTGTTAAAAATGTCTGTGAACACCGGAGATAGCTGATCAGCACAGTGCTTGAGGGTGGATGGGGAGACAGAGTCTGGCCCAGCTGCTTTGCGAGGTTTCTGCCTCCTGAAAAGACCGTTGACTTCCCTCTCATGATGGAGAGAGGAGGGGAGGGGGTGGAGCTGGCCAGCTATGGGGAGGGGGGGAAAGATGTGGTGGACTGGTAGAAGCTGATCGGAGGAGTCACCGGGGATGGTGTCTGATTGACTCTTGAAGCGGCAGTCGAGAGTTGTTGATTTACCTTTTACTCCACTATATTTATCTGACAACTTTAGTTTGTTGTTACTTTGCAGATTTAGATAAATAATACAAATTATAATCAACAAGTAAATGATTATGAAATATTAATGGGTAGTTTTCATACATCAAGAGACCCATACAGTTATTGCCAGATTGGATCATCACTAATTACTCTTTCCTAAAATCGCCAACATTAAAACCTAAAAAAAACCTTCAAAAACACACAAAGAAAGAAAAGTCTTGAGGCTGATTTAAAAATGTGTAACAGAACTCTAATATTGTTTTGTGTAAACTGCTTCTTTATTGAACATAGAAGAATTATCTCAATCTCAATGTATAAACATGAAATGACTTGTTGTTACTGGTTTACTGTATTTTATTTAAATCAATTGATATTAAAAGATGTTAAGTTCAAAAATAGGTGTTTAATCAGTCCAATAACGACTTTTTATTCTTTACTTTAAAATAAAAACACCATTAGGAATGTTTGTATGACATTAATGCTTTTATTCAACAGCAGTTGGTGACAGGAAATAAAGGTGAACAGAACTGGAGCAGCGTTCCGTCACTACTTCACCTGGTGAACCGAGTAACTTCCACAAAAAATAAAGACAACTGTGCTACATCAGTTTAACTATTATTCCAATAAGAGCACTTTTATATGATCTTTAATTCAGCTTTGAAAATGTTTCCTGAGAAAATAACATTCAACATGTTGGTTTGACGTCAAGTAGACGTAAAAACATAATACAAATATAATAAATTACTTTTTCAAAAGAAAACTCCTGAGCACATTTAACTCCCTGGCAAACATGGGTCAATGATTTAAATGTGTTATTACAAACTATAAACATAAAACACATCAGTTTTTACATAATGGATGCAGAGCGATATGATCACATTCAATACTTATGAGCCAACGACCATTAGTGTTAAACTGTAAAAAGACAATCCTGTATTTCAACAAAAACTTCAACAACAAAACAAAAGTAATATTTTTCTTTACATTCATTCTAAGAAAAAACAAAATTCACATTAAAGCGATGAAATACAGTGTTTAGCGGGCCTAAGACCAGTCATGTCCCATATCTAGCTGATTAAAGACCGTTTCACACCGGAAACAAAACAGAGCTAGAATATTCATTAATGATTTTTCACACCAAGTCAGACACAAATATTCTCGATCTGTGTTCATTCCACAAAAAATTAAAGCTTAGCCTCAATTCATTCGTTGTCATGAATGACAGTGAATGAAATGGTGCAGTAGTGTGTAAAAAACAGTTTTACTATAACACATTACATTCCGTGCATTTTAGCTGAAACAAACCCGCGCTCACGTCATCGCACTGGAGACAGGCTCCTTATTCTAAGTGTTCAATCCTGTGCAGAAAAACAATCACATGTCCACTGGGTGGAGACAGTGTAACGAGTGTAAATGCTGAACTTCTGGACTGGACTGAGGAGACTCTAGTGTTTACCCTTTGTCTACAATATGCAGATCATTTTTCATGTTTTCCCTGCTGTTTAAATGGTTTTTGAAAGTTTGAAACTAATATGCATGATTCATTCACACACACCTTTACACGACCTCTGTAGGATCTTTACAACGACTGTGCGTCTGCACACAAGAACCTGCAGAAAAGAAAAGTATATATTACACAGTCACAGAGCTGACAGTTTATTGATCTCCATAGTTTTTCCTTGACTCTAAGGCCAGATCAGATTGTTTCACATTGATCTGATTTTTTCCAGTTCAGATTTGGGCTACTTTACGATACAAAATGTGAGCACTTGTAGAATACAACTTGTTGGACAAAAATCTGAACCTGTATGTTAAAATTCTTGGTTGTATAAAACATTCAGGAACATGTGAGCTGAATTTGAAGTCCCAGAAAGAAAAAAAACATGAAAGCTTGTATAAAATACATCTTAACTTGTATGTTGAAAGTTACACTCAAACACCTTCCACACACGCGTGTTCTCAATATATATTCACAAATGTGTGGATTGATATTTACATAAATACAAAGACAGCTGTAGACTTGAAATGCAACATTTACTCTTTTTGTTTGTTTTTTGTTTGTTTTACCTGAGTCCATTTTCCAGTACAACCACAACTTGGTAATTACAACCTCTCGAATTTGTCTCTGCAACTTCACAAATGTACTCGCTCAACATGGCACAGCCTTACAATGTGCCAAAAAAATTCCAACATACAAGTTCAGATTTTTGTTCTACAAGTGCTCACATCAAGTCTACAAGTTCTCACATTTTGCACCATATTTACCTTCATAGTCTGATTTTTTTTGAAATGCGACCTCAGGTAACATGGTAATACTTTAATATTAAAGAGGTAATATGTTATACCATGTAATTACCGAAGTAATACCGGGTAATAGCTTCGTATTAACAATGGGTATATCTGGATAATATTAGACTAAATGTATGTAACACTTTAAGAGTCAAAAGCAAAGGTTAATAATGAGAAAACACATTTAGAGATAGCAACGCGGCAATTAGAATAGAATTAGAGTAATATTTTAGTAACAATGTGGTAACCTAACGATAAAATAAAGATGAAAAAGCACTGTAAGGTGATCACTAAGGTTGGAGGCAAAGGTAAAGTTACTGTAGAGTTGACAGAAACTTAACAGATGTGCACTCTGTAAAATGTATATATGTAACACTGCAATGTGCGAGGACAGAAAATTACTAATAAATGAAATGGAAAAAGGTAGTTCAGCATTTTGCAGCCTTGATTCAGAGAATTTGTTTTTCAGGTAAAAAGTCACAGCATTAAACATTTAATTTGTACTAGAGCCCGATCGATAAATTAATATGAGTAATTGCAGATAAATCAGTATCAGTGTTTATAATAACCAATAAATTTATACAGTATTACCTTGAAACAGGACAGAATGTTTTTCATGTGATTTTGAAGATATTGTGTTGATAGAAGCGAATAATATTGTGACATCAACCTATATTCTAAACTATTTATAATATTATACTATATTACCTCATTATTATCAGGTTATTACCCCATTATTTCATCATATTACCAATTATATAATCCAAATATTGCACTGATGAAACCATTTTATTGTTAGAAGTTTATCATATTGTTACCAACATATTAGTTTAACATTACTAAATAGTTTTGCCTCGCCACTATCTACAATGTGTTTTCTGATTATTCATTCCCTTTGTTTTAGACCTGTTAGTTCTGTCATTTGTGAATATTTCAGTCACAAACCAGATGACATCAAACAAACACAAATAATGAGCGAGCTTTGACTCAGAGCTGATGTTTCACCTCAGAATACTGCACAGATATTTGGTGTATTCGATCATTTTAAGAATCAGGACATAACAGCACAGTTTGTTTTTACAGTTGCACTTCAGGAGATAATCAAATCATTTAAATGGTGGTGAGTATCAGCAGACAGGCAGAATATTCAGGACTTTTACTTTCAAATGTTTCCAGAGACAAAATGGAAAAACAAGAAGTGAACGATGTTCAAAGATCTTAAAAAAACTTAAAGAAATAATTTCACATTTTGGGAAATCAAAAGGACAACATCAATTTAATGGACAATTTATATTTACAGCTATATTTATATCAAAGAACCAATAAATAAAGGCATAAACATAAGGGCGTCCAGTAGCTCACCTGGTGTAGCGCACAGGTTGGATTACACAAGTTCGGATCCTGTGCTGCATGTCATCATGTCTCTCTCCCTGGTTTCCGGTCTCTCTTCAGCTGCTCCTGTCAAATAAAGACATTATATATATTTATATATCTGAAAAGATGAGACCATTATGACATGAGATGGTTTCTGTTAAGTATCTGTGATGTTGATGTCTGCACATGTCTGTGAATATGTTGATACAATCCATTATAAACTCACCTTTATTACAGCGTACTGTGATGAACTTTGTAGCTACAAGTGAAGATAGAACTGCCAGAGGTAGAGCTCCTAAAGATAATCCACTAAAAAACCATCCTGTGACGTCCCCTCTGCTGCTCGTGTCCTCAAACAGTTTCTCTGAAACACACAACAAAACCTAGAGTCACACTCAGAATGTAAACTGTATCTCATGTACAGCACACTGGTTATACCTACACAGAACTACTACTGAGGCGGCCATGCTGCTAAAGTATAAAACTATTTGCAGATAAAACCACCAATAGGATGAGCTCACTCAGCACTGGTTTATATGGCTGATGTGCTCCTGCTCGACACAGTGGGCGACAAAGCGTTCTTTACCATTACATTACTAATTTTTTTTAAATTATGTTAAAAAAGAATAGAGAGTAATAAAAAATGAAAATAATTGTTGTTGCAGCTTTACACAAGTCATTTTTAAATTTATCTTTCATCAACAAAGTCACTGATTTCATATAACTACAGAAAAGTATCTTCTCATAATTATAAGAAAGTCATCTTTCAGTTATCAGTGTAACTTGTTTTCATGTCGATCCTCAGGATCAGGCTGCAGCAGCCATTTATAAATCTGTTACTGGGTTTGTGAGTGAAGTTTACTAAATTCTTGTGTTCCTGTGTTTGATCAGACTGATCTCAGAGTTTCTTTCTGTTATTTCCCTGCAGACCCTCTCATTCTTCCTCTCATCTCTGTAGATTCATGAAGTCTCAGAGTCTCAGTATAAGAGTGAAGCTTTCACTCAGTTTGACACTTTTTACACTTCTGCAGACGTCTTCATCACAACCTGCTTGAGTTCAGTCTGAAGACACTTAAATACTAATAACACAACTATTAAAATGAATGACATGTTAAAACACAACCAGGAAGAATCTCACCAGATAAACACGTAGGTCTCAGTATAATCTGATGTTTGATCTCCTCCTGTGTGGCTACACAGCGATAGCGGTCGGTCGGTCTTCTCACAGTAGTTTGGGGATGATGTAGAAGCTGCCTCCTCTTTCTGAGACCTGTGGCTCCTCAGCAGGAAGTTTGTTTGCAGCACTGTCCTGCCACTCTACTGTAGGTTTAGGAAAAGCACCTCTAACTTCACACTGCAGCAGGGCCACGTCCTGCGTTTGATTAATATCTGACAGACGGCTCTGGAGATGCTCCTGTGAACACC